AAGAGGGTTATTCTCCCGGATGTGTGACACGTAATCTGAAATAAAAACTGGTTGGAGCTGTGGGCGAAAACACATCATGCAAAACACAGCACCTAGATACCAAGGCCCATTAAACTTTCTGGAACTGATCCCCAAGTCAAATGGATATCGGAATCGTCCTGATTCATCCTCTTTGGGGTTCCCTTCCAACATCCCTCCTGCTGCCTTTTCGAAGCATATGGAAGATGGGCTGGAAAAGGTTAAGCGACAGCTAGGCGACATGTTATCTACAGGGTGGGTCCCCCTCCAGTTCTGCCACTGCCACCAGCACCGTCTGTTTCCTTATCTCTTGGCGTCCTTGGCCCACACCTGTCACCGTGGGGCTGCCCAGTTGATGATTAACCAGGACTTCCTGTTTGCTGCTGAAAAATGGCAGAATTAGGCCTGGTTTGCTGGCGCAGGGGGAGATGATCAAGACAGAGCCACAGGAGAAAGAGAGGTGATCTTGCAAAGCCTGTCAAGCATCCTGAGAGCTGAAAGTTACGTGGGTCTATCTCAGGAGTTCCACAGGCCTAGGAAAAAAGATGAGGCATCATATTTTCACCCTATTTATACAGCTGGTCCTCAACTTACAGAGCAACATTTCAGCTGCTAAGCGAGACACTTGTTAAGTGGGTTTTGCACCATTTTATGACCTTTCCTGCCACAGTTGTTAAGTGCATCACTGCGGTTATTAAGTTAGTAACACGGTTGTTAAATGAATCTGGCTTCTCCATTGACTTTGTCAGAAGGTCACAGAGGGGGATCACCTGACCCGGGACACGACAACTGTCAGAAATAGATGCCGGTTGCCATGCGCCTGAATTTTGGTCACGACAGTGAGGATTCTACAATAGTCGTAAGTCTACTGAAAAATGGTTCTAAGTCATTTTTTTCAGTGGTGTTGTAAGTTCAATCACTAAACAAAGGGTTGTAAATTGATGTTAAGTTACAAATAGATTTTTATACCACACTACCTTATAGTTTTATTTTATTATACACAGCCCAGAATCATCTTTTGAGAGACAGGCAGCTACATAAATATGATAGATAAATAAGATGACTATGATGAACTATCCCAAGCAAGCAAACCATCCTTCCACTTCTGAAGTTTTGGGATGTTGGAACCCCAGATTTGCAAAGGCAGGTTCTAAAGTAGTGAGATTGACAATCAATGCAAGATAATCACTCCATGTCATCACCAGCATGTGACTAAGATGGGAGAGAATCAGGTTCAAGCTCCCCATTCAAGGTGGATGACCAATCACAGTCTCTCAGCCTACTTACCTCACGAGATGAGCACGGGATGTTGCGTCTTGACCTGCAGAGAGAAAATATGAGATGCAAATATAAGAGTAAAGAAAATAAATCAAACAGAAATATTTGTTTTTATGAACTGGGAAGAGGGACACTGGCTGGATTTTTCATCTTTCAGCAAACCAAAGGAGTTTATTCTCTTCATGCATTTTGTTTGTAGAGTAGGAGTAGCCAAGCTTGGTCACTTTAAGACTTGTGGACTTCAACTCCCAGAATTCCCCAGCTTAAAATGGCCAAGTTTGGACACCTCTGATGTAGAACCTACCATTATGGTGTGTAAAAAACAACCTGGGTTGATGTGAAGTCCACAAACTGTTTATTAAAACAATTTATTAGACTGATATGTGACCAGTTTATTTTCTTCTTGAGCAAAGCACAGTAGTTTCCCCAAAAGTACAATATTGCCAATTTCACAACCAAAGATACTTCTGGACTGGAGCCAGGTTGGCTCTTGAGGTATCCTTATAAAATAAAAAATTAGCTACAGTTCAACCCTTGGCTTGAAAGATCTGCCAGTTAACCAGAAGAAAGACAAAAGTAAGCTTGAGAAGATGACAGATCTCAGCCTTGCTATCTAGTTTCTTGAAAGTGGGTTTTTTGTCTTCAGGGTAACAGAGATCTCCCTCCCACCACCACCACTCTGCTGCCATTTTGTTGTCCCAAAGTAACCACAACTGTAACAAACACAACCAAGAAAGGCATGTATCAGTCTTAAAATCATCAAAAGTCTAATACAAGTGTGGTCATCCCAAAGGAGCTTTACCAAAAGGCAACTGGGCTTGGTGTTTTCCTTTGAAAATGTTTTACTTCTCATCCAAGAAGCTTCTTCAGTTCTTCAGCCTTTTGGAAAAACACCTTTGGGACAACCATGACCTGGATGATTGACAATCTCCACAAAGTATGGTCAGTTTCCAGCAGATAAAAAGGACTTAAAAGACAAACAAGTAACTGCGAAGTTGGGGACCAGAGGGGGTGCAAAGAAAATTGAATTACGTTCAAAGGTTTCCCCAGTTAGCTTAGGAGCTGCTTTGGATTCTTGCTGGGGTATGTTTATCTCTGCCCCCTCCTCATTCCTAAATGGGGAATGGTACTTTGGACCGTGCAACGAGACTTATTGTTCAATCCTGGCTTCTCTCCCATTGTCTGGGATGAATAATGTAATTCCAATATGCAGCATGCTAGTGTCCTTTGTTTCTTTCTGGTTGAGCATGTTGGAGGTAGCCAGCCAAGTGTAGATAAATCCCCATACTGTGGCTAAGTTCCCCACAGCCTGCATGTAAATGATTCAGGTCTCTCAACCACTTTTACTGAGACGAAATTCTTCCACCCTGGCCAGGAGAGAAGGGTGCAAGGACTCTGGGTGGTGACTCATGTAATTAAAAAATAGTTAAACTAGATTGGATGGGTGCTGCCCTTACCAATTAGTTGATAAGGCTCTAAGACAGGGGTGTCCAATCTTGGACACTTTAAGACTTGTGGGCTTCAATTCCCCGAATTCTGAGAGTTGAAATCCACAAGTCTTAAAGTGCCTTAGACACCCCAGCTCTAAGACATATGAAAACTGAATTATAGCCCCTATAACCTTTCCTGGCTGCCCAGGAAAAAGTACAGTTAGAACCTGGTGCTCATTCTTCACTAAGAAAATAGACTAGTTTTTCCCCACACATCATCAAACCTGGACCTTTCAAAAATATTGTTGACCCACTCAGCATTAAGTGAAGAAGTTTTAATCATGGCTTGCAGAATCAGCTATAAAGCTGGACAGACACAAGTGACATCTCAACGATATTTGTGATAACTAGGCATTGTTTGTGTTTTTCGCCTGAGCATCTTCAAAGGAAGTTATAGAATACTGCCCCAAAAGCTATCTAACGCCAAGATTATTCCAACATCAAATAAAACAATTAGAACTGTGCTGTCTTCTAGAGGCACAGTTGCATCCAAAAAGCTTCTGCACCAGTTATTAACAACCCAGGCCAGCAGCACCTACAAGCGGTTTCTGAACTCTGCAGCAGAAACTTGGGATGAGTATCTAGCAATGGAGTACTGCCTCCCTCTAAAGGACCAAAAGGGCAATTTTCTTTGGAAAAATAAAAACAAGCCAGACCCGCTTTCCCAAATGTCTTGATCTACATTCAGGGCCATGCAAAATGCTAAAATTTTCTTCCAGTTTTTAAGTATGTTTTGCTTATTTAGTTCCGGTATCACTTTCAATGGCTGGACCAATTGGACCGAGGCAAGATGAGGATAGATTTGAGCAGATTTTTCCTTACTGTTTTTTTTTTAGTTTCCCTTTTGTTTTTGTTTGTTTTGTTTTCAATTAAACTTGCAACAATTGTAGACAGTTTTAGCCTCTAGGCCAGGCCTGCATAATAGGGAGAGTCCCGGGGCTACATGCAGCCAGCCAATAATGGAAATCCACTGCTGCCAAACAGATCTGCTAGTGACAGCCAGAGGTGATATTCAGCAGGTTCTGACCAGTTCTGGAGAACCGGTAGCGGAAATTCAGAGAACTGGCAAATACCACCTCTGACTGGAGATTTTACAGTATCCTTCCCCTGCCAAGCCCGCCAAGCCATGCCCACAGAACGGGTAGTAAAAAAATTTGAATCCCACCACTGAGTGACACCCTGAATGATATAGTGCCAAGCACCTGCAACACCGCTCAGAGTGCCAGCACCTTCCCTGGCACCCTATTGCTAAATGCCAGAGATTGTGATATCAACTATTTATCCATTATTATTATTATTCGCATTCCTCATTTTTACAAATAACTCAAGGCGGCATACATATGCAACACACCTTTCTCTACCTGTTTTTCCCACAACAACCTGTGAGTTGGGTTGGGCTGAGAGAGAGAAGGACTGGATAGGGCAGGATATTATTTTATTTTTAAAATTATTATTTTTTCTTCTATACTACTTTTATTTTCTGCAAGCCGCTTACAGTCGCCATGAGTAGATGGCTATATAATCTTTCCTATAGTTTTTTTTTCCCCTTTCCACTTTTTAAAATTCAAATATTGCAGTCTTTTGGCATTACCTTGCTTTTATTTACTTTTCTTTGTATCCCACCTTTATTACTTTTTTTTACTAATAACCCAAGCCAGCTTGTTTGTATTTTTATGCCTTTCCTTTCCTTTTGTATTTCAACTTTTCACGGCAGTTGTGGGCAATATGTGTAAATGAGTTCGCTGTCTGACATATTCCTTTTTTTTGTTTTTTTGAGGTAAAGTTTAGCATATTCAAATAATGGTTAAAATACAAAATTCCAAAATACTTTTAAAAGGACAATCCTAACCCTGTCTGAAATATTTCCTGAGGAAAAAAAATAATCCAACGAGGTCCCAACAAGGCCCCCTTCTCCTAATGAGAGCGGCGCAATTTCCCTCACATTTTCCCCGAACGTTTATAAAATGGATGCGCTTCCAGGCTCCCCAGAATTCCCCGCGGCGACGCACGTTCCCGCGTGAGGAAAACTACGCCTCCCAGAACCCTTTGCACGGCGCGCCTCCTGGACGATTGGAGCGCGAGACGCCACTCGGTCGTCCCAGGGTGCATTGCGGCCGGCGCTTAAGCCTCCCCCTCCCTCCTCCCCTTTAAAAGGAAAGGGAGAAGCGAGCCGGTCCTGCCTTTGAGGGGTGTCCGGAGCAAACTACGCTACCCAGGAGGCGTTGCTTTTTGCGCACGCGCGGTGGCGCGTCACTCAAGGCGAGGGGGATTTGCGTTTGCCAACCTGAGGGTCTTGCGGAAGCTTGACTAAAAAAATAAAAGGGAAGGGGAGGATTCGGGGGAAAGAAACAGAAAGCCAAGAAATTAGTTTTCGCTTTCTGAGGCGAAGGAAAGGCGCTGCCCGGCTCTGCTGGTAAGAGGAGGCCGTGCTGAAAGAGGCCTAGCAGTTGTCATGGAAACGGAAAGGGCCCGTTGGGGTGTCAGACCCCACCCCCCCGGGACGGGGAGGTCATCTCGGGGGGGGAGTCGGGGCGGCTGCGGTGGTTGGACTTTTTTGGGGGGCACTTTGGGCGAGATGGCCCTCGGACGGGTCAGTGAGTGGCCTGGAGGCGCTGGACGTACCCCATCAATCCCAGCCAACTTTGTAACCCCCCCCATCATCCCCAGCCAGCCTTCTCATCCCTAGTTAGCCTGTGCCCCCATCATCCCCAGGCAACCTGTGTCCCATCATCCCCAGCCAGTGTGTACAGTAACTATATTGAATCCTAGTGCAATTTTAATGCAATATCAGGGGTTTTCCATTCAATTGTACAGAATGCGAAGGATGGGTGTTTGCGTTCTGTTTTCAAAGCTGTAATGCACACTGAAGAGGCCGTTTGATTTCGTTGTACGAGGTGCAATGACAATAAAGTAAACTAAACTTCCATCATCCCTAACCAGCCCGTGCCCCTATCATCCCCAGCCAGTGCGACAAATGGAAGCCACCCTCCAAAGCATTCTGCCTTTCAGGGGCTCATCCCAGCACCGTTGTGACCCTGTGGAACTCACTGCCACAAGACCCAGAGCGATTGAATGGAGCAGCTCCTGCAGGAGAAATCATAAATACCCATTTGTTAAATCTGCTTTTTAGACCAGGGTTTGCCAACCTCAGCAAATTACCCAACTGGCTGGGGAATAGCAATACCACTTAGACTTATATACCGCTTTATAGTGCTTTACAGCCCTCTCAAAGCGGTTTTACAGAGTCAGCCTCTTGCCCCCAACAATCTGCATCCTCATTTTACCCACCTCAGAAGGATGAGAGGCTGAGTCAACCTTGAGCCTGGTGGGATTCGATCTGCCAAATTGAAGTAGAAGTACCTTGCAGTACGGCACTCTAACCACTGCGCCACTGAGGAATCCTGGGAGTTTGGGGGATTCTGGGAGTTGAAGTCCATACCTATTAACTTTGCTGGTTAAGAAACTCTGTTCAACAGTACTTCCAAGATCAGATATTTGCAAGTTACTCTCTCGAATTACTACTAGTTTCTTCCTAGCTTGCTTTAACCAGATGCCCTCTGCTTTCTTCCTAGGCCTCGGTTTGCTCGGCTGGATTTTGTCCATTGTTGACTTGATCGAGGGTGGGAAGCCATGGCGAACACAAGTGGGGTGGGAGACCCTGGCCTTTTACGGATGAGCATTGCCTCCCAGTTCTTTTCGGGAGAGGAAACGGCGGAGATTGACACCATGACCACGTCGGAGAAAGTAAGACTCCCAGGATACAAAGCTTGAAAGGGGACCCATGTTGCCATGATGGGAGCTCAGTCTGGACCCATCATCTTAAAACCTGTTGGGATTTAACTGAGTCCCCATCTTTGCAATTTCTTCCCATCTTCCTCTATAGCAGGAATGGGCAACTAGGGCCCCTTTACGACCTGTGGACTTCAACTCCCAGAATTCCTGAGTCCCACAGAATTCTGGGAGTTGAAGTCCACAGGTCGTAAAGGGGCCATAATTCCCCCACCCTGTAACTTTGATCCTTCAATCCGTTTGTTCTTCCAATCACAGTGTCACATTGGCAAGAAAATCATGGCTTTTTTTAAACCAAACTGTTTTCCATTCAATCTCTTTTACATCAATTATTAGAATTTATTACACCCACTATTTTCCCATACATATAATAGACTTCTCTGGATTTTCTTTTTGTTTCTGATACTGATTTGGTTCTTTTTTGTTTTTTTAAATAACCAGGTTGTAGATTTGCTGAATCAAGCTGCCTTAATAGTCAACGAGTCTAAAATCACAATCCTTAAACAAGTGAGTGAAATAACTTTTTCCTTCTCTTGAATTTGAAACCCGGCTTTCTTCAGTTAAATGGTCTCCTCTCTGGCAAGGCAGTTGAAACCCTGTTAGGGGAGCCGACAGCCTAACTTCCTCCAATTTAGCTTCTATGGGTTTGAATAGCCCAATGGGCTCAGCTGTGGCCTTTGAGAACTACCTTTACCATGTATTACAGTTATCCTATTACAGTGGTATTTTCTCAATCTTGGCAACTTTAAGATGTGTGGACTTCAACTCCCAGAATTCCCCAGCCAGCATTCTAGGAGTTGAATTCGACATTCTGGGAGTTGAAGACCACACGTCTTAAAAGTTGAGAAATGCTGAATTAGAGGATTAAAATCATAGGTAATTCTGTATGTTAAAGCCATTTTTGCACTCCTGAGTCAAATGAATTAATCTTCAGCAAATTATTAAGGTTGATGGCAGACAGGAAGACTCAACTAGCGATTCAAATACTCAAACGATGTGCCAGAAGGATTTTTCCAGTTTTTCCTTCTTGCTTGCCTGTATTGTTCTTCATTTTCTTTTCTCCTTTTCCCAGGTCCAGGAATTGATTATAAACAAGGACCCTACCTTGCTGGATAACTTCCTGGATGTAAGTTGGCTGGGAATCTTCATAGAAATCTCCTTTTCTTCGTAGAATCTGCTTTGTGATTCTTCCTGCCCATAATGTCCACCATTGGAGGGTTTTAAGATGAGATTGTACATCAGTTTGTCTCAAATGGATTAGGGTCTGCTGCTTGGCAGAGGGTTGGACTAGAAGACCTCCAAGACCCCTTCCCACTTGGTTATTCTGTTAACTTGGGCCAACCAGTTGGATTTGAGTAATCCCTTCCAGAATAACCAAGGTGTAAGGAGATGGTGGCTGCTGGAACTGGACTCTTAGTCTCCTTTCTTGCTTGCTCCTGTCTATTACTCAAGCTCTGTTCCAACTTGGCTCACAGTGAGATGTGTTTTTGGTAGGGGGACTGAAAAGGCCAAACAACCATGAAACCCCTTTTCTGTTGTAGGAAATCATCGCTTTCCAGGCAGATAAGTCTGTCGAGGTGCGGAAATTTGTAATCGGGTTCATAGAGGAAGCCTGGTAAGTCCATGGTGTCCTTTTCATTTGTTTATGTATTTATCAAATTTAGAAACTGCCTGTCTCCCTTAAAGAGGGGCTCAGGGTGGGGTACAAGTCAAAAACATAAAAACAGAACATAACAAAGTAAAGGCAAAGATAATCAAAATCCAACACTAAAAGTTCATTAAAAGGCAGAAGGAGGACTTTCAGCATGGCTGGCTGGGGGAATTCTGGGAGTTGAAGTCCGCAGGTCTTAAAAGCTACCAAGTTTGGAGAGCCCTGTTTTAGCCATTTTCGAAAGGCCAGGAGAATTTGCCATTTTGATCCATCCTCATGCTTCTGAGGTAGAGACAGGCCATTTGACCTGGTTCCTGAAGTGCTTCCTTTTTTTCCCTGTAGCGGCCGTAGTGGCTCGTCCTCTTTCGATTCATTTCCGTTTTTGAATTTGTTCTTTTCAGCAAACGGGACACGGAGCTATTGCTCAAGCTCATTGCCAACCTGAATATGCTGCTGAGGGATGAGAATGTCAACGTGGTGAAGAAGGCCATCCTGGCCATGACCCAGCTCTATAAAGTGGCCCTACAGGTAAGCTGATCCCCAGGGGCCAAAGTAGCTCACCCGTGAGAGGCAAACAACCAGAGCCACTTGTGAATAAGGAAAGTCAACTTTATTGTCTCCCGCCTGTGTTACAAGAATCTCCCCAGGCTGCTTTGCTTTTCCGTGGGAACAACCAGATAAGGCTCGCAGCTATACAGGGACTCCAAGCTAGAGCCTCACTTGACCCTTCCTTCCAATTTGACTGGGAGTTCTCCCGACATCTTCCTCACTTCTTGAAATGAAAAGTGGAACCTGAGATTTGCACCATCTTAGAGGAACGGGATGGGCCCAAGTGAACAGGGCACAAAAACCCCCTGAGTGGGAAGTGGGTGGTGGTCACGAGGGTACAGGATTGTGTAGCGAGCGTCCCTTCACTACCTGTACCCCCCTAAACTGGTCTGGCTAGGATGCGGAGCTGCTCACGGGACTCTCTTCCTTTGTTTCGCTGCCCAGTGGATGGTGAAGTCCAGGGTGATCAACGAGATGCAGGAAGCCTGCTGGGAGATGGTCTCGGCCATGGCCAACGAAATCATCCAGCTGCTGGACTCCGACAACGACGGCATACGCACTCACGCCATCAAGTTCGTGGAGGGCCTGATCATCACCCTCTCACCCCGCATGCCAGAATCGGAGGTGCCCAAGCGACACGAGAGCGACGTCAGCCTCGACCGGGTTCCCACGGACCACACGTACATCAAATACAGTAAGGAGCCCCGGTGGCACAGCTGTGGTGACTATTGCAATCCCAGTTTCTCACGTGGCCTCTTGAGAAAATTAACGGCCCACCCTTGGATCAGGCAAAGTTTTTCAATCTTGACAACTTTAAGATGTGTGGGAATTCTGGGAATTGAAGTCCACACATCTGAAAGTTTGCCAAAGTTGAGACACATCGGAAAGCCAGGCTGAAAATACTTTCTGACATTTGGAAGTTCACAGGAGGACTTTGGGGCCAGTTGCTTTCAGCCCAACTTTACCTGTCCTGGTTGTTGTGAAAATCCCATTGGTGGGGGCCTGGGGAGCGTTGTATATGTGCTGCTTTAGGAAAGGCAGGATAGAGGTTTAATCGGCGGAATAATGCATAGGTGATGGAATGTGGTGGGCCGGAGGGAGGGGCTGCATTCCAGAAGAGCCAAGAAACAAGTCAGTTCAGAGAGTTGGTGTGAGAGAGAAAGAGCCAAGACAGCTCCTCCCTAACAGTTCTCTAAGTATAGGCTTGGGGAGGTAGCGGGCTGCTTTAGTGTGGCAAGATTCTGTCTACAGGCAGGGAATAAAAGAGAAGTCCTTCTTGATTCTTGGGGCCTGATAGATAATAGTTTATAAGTTGATTTCTGCTAAGTCCCTTTCTTCCCCCCCCCCCCCAGATGCCCTGTGGGAGGAAGGGAAGGCAGCGCTCGAGCAGCTGCTGAAGTTCATGGTACACCCAGCCATCTCCAGCATCAACCTGACAGCAGCCCTGGGCTCCCTGGCCTCCATCGCCCGACAGCGGCCGATGTTCATGTCGGAGGTGATCCAGGCCTACGAGACACTGCACGGTAAGCCAGCCAGAGTCACTGCATCAGCGGCTTGGCTGTACACTTCAAGTGATCCACGACGTAGAATAATAGAGTTGGAAGGGACCTCGGAGGTCTTCTAGTCCAACCCCCTGCTCGAGCAGGAGACCCTAGACCGTTTCGGACAAAGGGTTGTCTCTTCTTAAAAAGCTGCAGTGTTGGAGCAGCCCCCATGACTTCTGGAGGCAAGCCCTGCCACTGGTTCATCGTTCTCACCATTAGGAAGTTCCTCCTTAACCACCGCGTTACTAACTGAACAACTGCAGTGATGCACTTAAGAACGGTGTGGCGAGAATGGTCATAAAATGGGACATTCTTTGGTTCTTCAGATCGTTGTTATTATGGCCTCTTTATCCATTTAAGCTGCAGGCTGATGCTTGGTTCTCTACACAGATTTAAGGGGATTGTTTTAATTGGCTCCCTTAGCCAACCTCAAAGAGGGACTGTGAAGATAGAGGGTGAACTAGAAGTCCCTGTTTCTCTTCTAGTAGTAGTCGTAGTATTGACTGAGTAGCCTTGTGACCTTCTCAGGAGTTCCCCCTCTAGTTCCCTCCCTCCAGCCTTTTCCCCCTGGGAGGGAACCCCGGGGGAATCCTTCCCGTTTCTGGGTCTCTCACCCGCTTACGGTTCTGTCCTGCCGACAGCCAACCTCCCTCCCACGCTGGCCAAGTCCCAGGTGAGCAGCGTCCGCAAGAACCTCAAGCTCCACTTGCTTAGCGTCCTGAAGCACCCGGCCTCCGTCGAGTTCCAGGCCCAGATCACCACCCTGCTGATGGACCTGGGCACCCAGCAGGCCGAAATCACCCGCAATATGCCCAACCTGAAGGACTTGCGCAAACGGCCCCGGGACGAGAGCGACCCCACTTTGAAAAAAATGAAGATGGGTGAGAGCGGCCTTCGAAAGGGCCTGGAGGCCTTGCGGGTGGGGGGCGGGGGGGGCGTCCTCTTTCCCCGAAGACTGATGAGGTTCAGCCTGGTGCAACTTTCCTCCTCCTCCTCCTGGTTGCAGAGCCCCCCCTTGAGGAGGACGACGAGGACAAAGACCTGGAGCAGGGGCCGGTGCCCACCCCCAAGCCCTCCATTCAGAGCATCACGCAGTCCGATATAGACATCACAGCCGAGTTTCTGCAGCCTCTTTTGACTCCCGATAACGTGGCCAACTTGGTGGGTATTGTTGGGGTTTAGTTGCTGAACCAGCTCTTGGGGGGTTTCTTTTTATTCTGTGAGCATTTTCTGCCCCCCCCCCCCCCCCCCCCCCCCCCCCCGTGATCCTTGGTGTCAGAGAAGCCGAGAACTCCGCTTTAGAGCAGGGCTCTCCAACCCGAGCAGCTTTAAGGCTTGGGGACTTCAACTCCCAGAATTCCCCAGCCAGCCATCCTATCCTGGGAAAGGACTGATCTTATTCTGGAATCAGAATCAACAATTGTCCCTCTGCTGGTGTGTGGGGGATCGGTGTGCTTCTCGCTTTAGTCGTGGAGTTTGGGAGGGTAAAGCAATTCAGCAAGTTTAAAATGTCGATGGAATCCACTAGATCACACTACTGCTCCTCCTACGTTATATTGCGCTACCAGCTTTGTATATCTTGGCAACTGGTTCAAATGTATGACGGTTGCAGTGTTCTGGGCTCTCGTGATCCCCTTTTGCAACCTTCTGGTAAGTAAAGTCAGTGGGTAGCCAGATTCACTTAACGACCAGGTGACTAATTGATTCATTGACACAATTCACTTATTCACAGCTATGGCATGAAATGCCGTAAAATGGGGCAAAACTCACTTAACAAATGTAACCTAACAACAGAGATTTTGCTTGTGAGCGGAGGACAACCTGTATAGAAAAAGGATACTAAAGGTTATGGCTTCTCCCCTCCCCTCCCCTCCCTTCCCAATCCATCCCCTCCCCTCTTTCTTGACTTTCTGCTCCTCTCCTGGACCGACCCGGGCTTCCTGTTGGGTGTTTTTCCGCCCGCAGGTGCTCATCAGCATGGTGTACCTCCCAGAGAACATGCCGGCATCCTTCCAAGCGACGTACACACCGGTGGAATCCGCTGGGACCGAAGTCCAGATCAAGCACTTGGCACGGCTGATGGCCACCCAGATGACCGCAGGTGGCCTGGGCCCGGGTAGGTCTGCCCAGGGAGCCTCAGTGGAGTCGCATGGCTGCCATCACAGACTTTGCGGGGAGGGAAGTTGAGGAATGCTCTCAGGTACAGGAAGTGGTCGCCTTATAGCCCTCGGTTTCAACCAGGGGCCTCCAACCTTGGCCACTTTAAGACTTGTGGACTTCAACTCCCAGAATTCCTCAGCCAGCAAAGCAATGCTGACTGAGGAACTCTGGGAATTGAAGTTCACAAGTTTTAAAGTTGCCAAGGTTGGTTGAGGAATTCTGGGAGTTGAAGTTCACAAGCCTTAAAGTGGCCAAGGTTGGCTGAGGAACCCTGGGAGTTGAAGTCCACAAGCCTTAAAGTGGCCAAGGGTGGAGACCCCTGATTTAAACAATCACTCCCAAAGTCGCCACGGCGACTGAAGCAAGTGATTTATGACCCCTTTTCACACTCATAACCATCAGGGAGTATCCCCACGGTCACATGATTTGCACTTGGATGCTTGACACCTGACTCCACATTGATGAGGGTTGCAAGTGCCCTGAGGTCACGTGATCACGGGGGGGGGGGGGCACGCCGGCTAGGGAATTCTGGGAGTTGAAGTCCACCTGTCCAAAGTTGGGAAAGAAAGCCTGCACTAATCCCTTAATGTGAACGGGTGTCAACTCATAAAGCATATCTATGCCCATCTTAGAGTTGCCAACAGAAAGGGAGTGGGCTTGGAATCGAAAGTGCATTCCATTCATAGTTTTTCAGAGATTGTAACTGGGTGACTGAAGTTTGTGCCGTGCAAAAATCTAATTGGAGAACATGATTGATGACTCTGGGCTATGGATGTGTCCCATTAGAGAATATGAATTACAATACACCCAGAGGTTGGGGGAGGGGGAAACCAGGGTCAAGGGTGACAATGAATTACGTGTCTCAGAGTCCGCTAAACCCAGGCAGTGCTGGCATGTTTACTCCCAATAAATCTTTTTTAAGTTTTGGAAGTTTGGCTCAAGACTCAGGATTTAAATGGGGAAACTGCTGGAATCCCGACAGCGGGGTTGCCACGGTCAGCTGTGAACTCTCCCATTTTCCCTGGCAGGAGTGGAGCAGATCAAACAGGCCAAAGAAGTCATAAAAGGAGAGAAGATAGTCAAGCCGGAAGGCGTCTTGATCAAGCGACGCCTTTCCACCCTTAACCTCGGCCAGGCCATCTCCGTGGTGGGAGCTGCGAGCCCGGCCTCTCCCTCCACGGAAGTCCCGCAGGCCAAGCGGCGCCCGGAACCCATCATTCCTTCCACCCAGCCAAGGTGAGCGCTAGCAGAAATGCTCCATTGTGGCCCGACGGGAGGGTACGAGAGACTTGGCAATACGCAGCCCGACTTGCGGTGTTCCCGAGAGACGAGACAGACGGGCAGAATGTGTGGAAGGTCCTGGCCTGGGAGATTAGCAGGGCCCCACCCCTGTTGGCTTTTCATAAGGCTTTGAAAACCTGTGGGTTTGGATTGTGCTTAGGGCCCTCCTGCCTCTGGGCCTTAGGGATACTCAGCCAAGCGTCTCAGCTGCTGCGTGTATTTCTTTGGGGCGCTTCGATTGTTTGTATAGTTTTAGAATTATAAGCAGCCCAGAGTCATTGCTTGAGATGGGTAGCAATAGAAATGGGATGGGATGGGATGGGTGGATGGATAGACGAGAGGTAGAAAGATAGCTAGCTAGATGATAGACAGACAGACAGACAGAGAGACAGACAGACAGACAGCATTGATAGGTAGGTATTGATAGATAATATTTATATATAATATAGATTATATGAAATATACATTGATAGACGGGTATGTGAAATATATATAGATAGATGATAGACGGATGGATGGATGGGTTTTTGCCAATACAGATAGTTCTTGGCTTATGGCCACAACTGAGCCCAGCATTCCTGTTGCTAAGTGAGAAATTTGTTAAGTGAATTTTGCCTCATTTTACCACCTTTCTTGGCACGGTTGTTAAGTGAATCCCTGCAGTTAAGTTAGTAACCTGGTGGTTAAGTGAATCTGGCTTCCCTGTTGACTTTGCTCCTCAGAAGGCCGCTAAAGGGGATCACATCACTCCGACCGTCATAAATGCGAGTTGGATGCCAAGCATCCAAATGTTGGCCCCTCCCTCCCTGACATTGGGGATACTGCAGTGGTCGTAAGTGTGCGAAACAGTCCGAAGTCATGTGTTTCAGTGCTGTTATAACTTCAAACGATTCACTAAAAGAGACTTGGCCACTTTAAGGCTGGCGGACTTCAAACTCCCAGAATCCCCCAGCCAGCAGAGCTTACTCTCTTGCAATCCCTTCCTCTGCAATCTATCTCCACTTTAGGAGATCTAGAGAGAGAAAAAGAAACAGACGCAGCTGGCTGGGGAATTCTGGGAGTTGAAGTCCACAAGTCTTAATGTTGCCAAGTTTGGGGACCTCTGCACTAAACAAGATGGTTGCACGACTACCCTGCCAACAGACACCCCCCCTGCATTTGGGAGAAGCCCCCTCCTCCCTCTCCCCCGCCAGGCCCCGCCCCCTCTGAAAGGCTGGCCCTGCTGTGGTTGTGCTGCAGGATGGTGGGTGCCAGCGGCCGCAAGAAGATCTTCCGCCTGAGTGACGTGATCAAGCCTCTCACGGACGCCCAGAAGGAGAAGCTCAAAATGGCAGCTGTCAAGCGGATCCTACGCTCCGAGAAGGCCGTGGCTTACAGTGGGGCGGCGCATGTAAGTTGGTGGTCCCCCACCCACGGGCACTGGGCCATTACCGGGCCGTGGCCTGTTTGAAACCAGATGGTGGGAGAGATGGGCAAATGCCACAAACAGGTGTGCCTGAAGTGTGCACGAATGGAGCTTGGTGCGCAAGCCCCTGCATCCCATGCTCGTACGAGCAGAGCTTCGCACACGGGCACAGAAGTGCCTGCCGCTCGTGCGAGAGGAGCCTCGCGTGCAAGTGCAAGCATCCTCGGCTTGCGTGCAAAGCTCCCATCGAGCAAGTGGAGGGCATGTGTACCTGCCACTCTACACATGGAACTGTGCGTGCACCAGTGGTGGGATTCAAATTGTTTTTACTACTGGTTCTGTGGGCGTGGTTTGGTGGGTGTGGCAGGGGAAGGCTACTGCAAAATCCCCATTCCCTCCCCCCCACTGACCTGCTTTCCAGCTCTGTTCTCCTGTGTAGGGCAACCAAAGGAGACCCAGACAATGGAGCTGGGACTCAATGGGAGGCAGAGAAGAGATGGGGGAGGTGGGGCCAGGTAGAGGCTTTCTCCAGAACTTTCTCCAGAACTGGTCAGAACTGGCTGAATACCACCTCTGCTCCCCATCCCACTAACCTGCTTTCCAGCTCCCTTCTCCTGTGCAGGGCAACCAAAGGAGACCCAGCCGATCAGCTGGGACTCAATGAGAGGCAGAGAAAAGATGGGGTTGGCGGGGCCAGTCAGAGGCGGGATTTGCCAGTTCTCCGAACTACTCCAAATTTCCGCTCCCGGTTCTCCAGAACCCTAACCCTAACTGGCTGAATACCAACTCTGGTGTCTCTCTCTCTCTCACACACACACCCCGAGGTGGAAAGGTTTGGGGCCACTGAGGTCAGTAGAGGGGCCAAGATGGCCACCCTGGGAAACCCGGTGGTGAAATAAGGCGGCCTTCCCTCCCACAGGCCCGGGTGAAGATCCTTTCCTCCCTGGTGACCCAGTTTGAGGTCCCTCTGAAGCAGGAGATCTTGGCCTTCATCCTGGACGACATCCGGAACCGGCTGGACCTGGCCTTCGCCTGGCTGTACCAGGAGTACAACACTTACCTGAGCCAATACCCCACCGGCTCCCTCAACAACTACGATGAATGTCTCATCGGCCTCCTCTCCGGCCTGCAGGAGAAGCCCGACCAGAAGGATGGGTGAGTCGGTGGCTCTGCAGAGCCGGCAAGCTGGATAGACGTGGTGATGGTTGGGGGAGGCTCCGTTGGTGTTTGGGGTGCTGATTTTTTTTTTTTTTTACTTCCCAGTTACCAGCAGGGTTCTTAATTTAGAGCTGCCCCCGAGTTTTAGCAAATCTCTCGGGTCGAAGGGGTTGGTTTTGAAATTGGCACAAGAATCAGCTGGATTTGTTTGTGTCCCGCCTTTATTTATTTTTACAAATAACTCAAAGCGGTGAACGTATCCAAAACACCTTCCCCCTCCTCCTTTCCCCACAGCAACCACCTTGTGAGGTGAGTTGGGCTGAGAGAGACAGGCTGGCCCAAAATAACTCAGCTGGCTTTCATGCCTAAGGTGGGACTAGAACTCCTAGTCTCCCGGTGATTGGCCCAAAGTCACCT